CACCGGGGCCCGCGAACCCGAATACACGAACGTGAGGGGCCCGGAACAAGGGCCCTTTTTCCAATGACGTCCGGGAAGGGCCATCCCGTAGGGACATTTTTTGTCACATTTCGACGCACCAGACCCCCCTCGCGACAATTTCGACGTGCAGCCACCGTCCGATGCGCGGATCGAACAGCCGCGGGTCGGCACGCGGACCCTGCACGGAAATCCGAAACTCAAGGCCCGAGGGGGCCTCGTGTCCCGCGCGCCTACAAATACGAGCGGCGCCCTGGGCATTGACGATGCGTTTTGCGTTTTTTGCTGGGGAGATGCTGCCCGACGGAAGCCACGCACCGCGACAGTCATCAACAGCTGGCGCGCCATAGCTGGCACAACCATTCTTCACCGCGCACGTTTCGTGGCACGGACGCACCCCACATGCCCTCGCATATCCCTCCGCCTACCAAGCCGCTGTCCACGTCATATTCGACGTCACTTGCGGTCTCCTTTCTCGGAAGGCGCGACCGCCACCCCATGCAGCACCCCAGCAAACGCGAAGTGCACGCCCAAAGGTGGAACAGAGTCTTCACGACAAACGCCAGGGTTCGCGCTCATCTTCACTCGGCAGTTCCACACGATAAGTGCGCACGTAGTCGGGATGTATGTTTGCATGCGCGCGCGTGCAGGGGAGGGTTTTTGTGACGATATGCTCGCGGAGATCGAAAGATTTGGTGGCTGCATGTGTGTGTGTGTGTGTGTGTGTGTTTGTGTGCGACTGTGTGTGTGTGTGTTCGAGTGCGTGTTCCTTTGTGTTTGTGTTTGTAGTGAAGTGTGTGCCCTTCGATTCCGCTTGTGTGTGACGATATGCTCAAGGAGGAACGTCGTGGTTCGCCCTTCGATTCCGCTTGTGTGTGGATGTGTGAGGAGAGTATCAACAAACAATTGCGCTCGTGCTGAACTCAAGTGGCGAAACGCACGGTGGCAATGTCGACACAGGAACGCATCCATCGACCAATCGCGAAACACGATGAGATCACTCGCGATCGGATGATTGGTCGTGTCTGCCGTGTCGACGTTACCAACGCGTGTGTGTTGTTCTCTCTGTCGTGTGTGTTCAGATCACTCGTGATCTGATGGTCGACCAGACCCATGACAATATGCATACCACACACGTGACGAACCGAGCCATCACGAAACGCAAGCCGACCACTCGCGATCGGGTGATAGATGTTGTTCGCTTCCCCAACAACAGCGCCGCTGATCTGCCCCACGGATGATCAATCAATGCACGAGACGACAACGCATCCAACCAACCAATCGCGAAACGACAGAAGTTAACTTGCGATCGGATCAACTGATTGGTCGACAGCTCAGTTGGCGATTGCTCTGCTGGTTGATCAACCACCACACCAACCGCCAACCGAGCAGCCGATCAACCAATCGACTGTTTTGTGCTAATTGATCGTGGAGAACGATCGCGAAAAATCCTCAAGGCAAATGATCATGTGCACGATCGAAACCGGCGAACGAAACGCACAACCGATCGAAAAAACGTCGATCCCGATCTTCGAACAAATAAAAAGCACTTCGTCACAATCTTGTTGCACATCGAACCTCGTATAACATCAAACCATACTCCCCATGGAACCTGGCTCCACATCAAACCTCGGCGGGCGTCGAACCTCGTCGGACGTCGAACTTWGGAGGACGTAGGGTCGTCGACACTTGACGGTCACTTAACGGCCAACGTTGAGCACCCACCACCCCACGCGTCGCCGGCACTGTTCTCGTGATCGGAACGTGTCCGTTCCAACCGAACTGATCGCACAATCAAACACCGGAAGAAGTTGGGATCCCGGCGAGCTTGTGCAGTTGTTCGAACAATCTTCTCAACCCCGGTGCGCAAGCACAGCCAGGGACGTGGAAAATTAGAAGTCCGCCGGGATCCGAACTTCAAGAAATTGCTGGACGGCGAGTTTGGCAGACACGTGTGCATCTCCCACGCAATTTCGCCAAGTTCGGATCCCGGCGAACTTCATGCAGCTTTTCGAACACGCTTCGCAACCCCGGTCCCCAACCACAGCCTGGGACGTGTAAAAATTGCAAGTCTCCCACGCAATTTCGCCAAGTTCGGATCCCGGCGAACTTCATTGCAGCTGTTCGAAGACGCTTCGCGACCCCGGTCCCCAACCACAGCCTGGGACGTGTAAAAATTGCAAGTCTACCGGGATCCGAACTTGAAGAAAATGCTGGACGGCGAGTTCGGCAGAGTGGTATGTCTCCCACACAATTTCGCCAAGTCCGGATCCCGGCGAACTTCATGCAGCTGCTCGAACACGCATCGCAACCCCGGTCCGCAACCACAGTCTGGGACGTGCAAAAATATGAAGTCCGCCGGGATCCGAACTTCGAGAAATTGCAGGACGGGGAGTTTGGCAGACAGGTGTGTATGTCCCACGTAATTTCGCCAAGTGCGGATCCTGGCCAACTACAGGTTCCTGCTGGCCTGCGGATCCAAACCTCGCTCGCACTATTCCTTGCACACTCGTCGAGTTCGGACCTCGGCGAACCTCGGATCCGTGATAATGCGAAGTCCGCCGGGATCCGGACTTCTACTGGACGGTTCCTCGCACAGACGTCAAGTTCGCACCCCGGCGACTTCGCTTGTCTCAATGTGAGGGTTTAAGAACAGGGTTTCTAGCTCCCGGGGTTTGGCACAACTTTGTGTTTGAAAAAATATGTAGCCCGCCGGTTGATTCTTTCACGCGGTCTCGAGAAGTTCGTATCCCGGCGAACACCCTCCCGTGGATCTGGACCTCGCGTGGCAGGTTTGGACCCCAGCGAACTTCGCGTCGCGCATGGTGTGGGTACTGACTGTGTCCTTCCTCGCAAACGGCTGTTTGCCACAACTTTTGTTTCGCAAAAGTGCGAAGTCTGCCGGGATCCGTACTTCTCGTGCAAAGGTTCCTCGTCCCCTCGTCGGGTTCGCCTGCTGGGCCGTGGATCCGAACCTGCTGTCTTCCTTTCGCGATGCATGTGGCAGGAGAAGTTCCTTTCGCAAGTTCTGATCCCGGCGAATTTGCCAAGATCGGATCCCGGCGAATGGAGCTGTCTTCCTTTCACAATGCATGTGGCAGGAGATGTTCCTGCTGGCCGTGGATCAGAACCTGCCGTGCACGGTTCCTCAGACAATTGTCAATTTCAGATCACGGCGGACTGCGGATTCGATAAAATGCAAAGTCCGCTGAGATCCGAACTTCCGGTGCACGGTTCGTCGGAAAACCGTCGACTTCGGACGCCGGCGTGCTTCACCTTTGGGGTGGTGCGGGTTCTGACTGTGGACTTCCCGGCGACCGGTGGATTGCCATAACTTTTTATTCGAACGAAATTGAAGTCCGCCCGGATCCGAACTTCTTGGCAGTTTTGGACGTCGGGTTTGGGAGACAGCTTCGTCTTTCCCGCGCAGTCTCGCGAAGTTCAGATCCAGACGAACATGTCGCAGGGCGTGTTTGCGGCTGGCCCGCGGGTCGGCAGATGTGAACACCGACGAAGCCGGCCACCCGAAATCGGATCTTGAGGCATACACTGCGTCTAATGCCATGGGTCGCACATCGTGAGACATGATGAGTTTACGAGTGTCTCCGTGCCCGTGTGTGTCGTCGGGCATGTGCGCGTGGTGTGCAGGCTGCGTGATGGAGGGGACCTTCTCGACACCACGCATCTTCGAGTCGATCTTCTCGAGACCACTGACCATGAGTGTCGAGACGCACATTCGCTTAGCACAACCTTTTCGTCCTTGTGCGAAATCCGTGTGGCATTTCAACGGTGTGACGACGATCCACGGAGCGACCGCAGAGGACTTCGACGAGGACCCATGGATGACCGTCGTTCCGTGCAGGGACGCGCATCTTGACGACTGGGATGTGGGCAATTGGGCCAGTATGGAGAGTCACTGCCCTGGGGCAAGCCAGTACAAGTTCGCGAGTATGTTGGAGTTCGGGGACCTAATCCCGCTGCCTGACGCTGTCCTCAGACACAAGTTCCTCAACCATATGCGGAAAGCACTAAGCTGCATTAGCCGCTATTTTAGTCGCCTCGAGAGCCACAACGTCAGGTCGTCGCCACGAACTTGGGGTGGCTCGCGGAAACAAGAGTTGGTGGACTGCGCTCGTCGCTGCTCGTTGCTGGACCAGTACCCGCTCCGTTGCCCCGGGATTTCTCCACGAGCTGTGTTGTACTGTTGTGTGCGGTTGACTGTGTCCGGATCTGATTTCGCCAGAGTTCTGTGTGTCACTGCTTCGAACAAGAGCAGGAAACTCGTCGACGCAGTTGTGCTCGTGTCGCGCAACGAGGTTGTGATTGAAGGGTCCAAATTCGTGCCGATGCGTGGGCCTGAACGTGTGGATGGGTGGCCAGATTTGGTGATAGCAGGTCAGGTTCGAAACTATTCTTTGTTTCGTGAGGTTGAGGAGAAAGCGGCTGACATACGGGACTGCATAGGAAACTCCTTGGCGCGACCGGGGGTGTTTGTTAGGATGAAATACATGTCCGTTTTTTCGGAGAGTGCATCGGTCGACGAGCCGCAGACCCGTGTATACGGATCGTCACTGAATGCTTTGTTTGGCTTCGGTTCATGACGTCGTCCCGGGGGATCCCCGAATGCTGCCGCATCCGAACCGGTCTTTAGTCCTTCTTTTTAAGGGAGAAGAACGGCGAGGGACGAGATGCGGTTGTGCTGCCTAACATGTAAGACTTGTAGGACTGCAGAGAAGTGTGAGACTCCGCGGTTGCAGGTACACGGTGCGCCACGCGCTTGTCGTGCAAATCCGTGGTCGTCGTTCGGTTCAGTGACATGACGAAAGTCATGTTGGACGTCCGTCTCTGACGCCGTCTCCTGCCATGTCGTGTCCCGGTGAAGTTCGGATCTCGGCGAACTTCGCGTTCTGGCCTCTCCGTTAATTTGTCTCTGTTGTCATTGGCGTCGGGCGGGCCGCGCTGAAGACCCGTCACCGCGGAAGGTTCTGCCCGTAACCGGTTTTCGCCCGTCCACAATCAACATGTGCCAAACAGTCGGTCACTGTCGTAGCGAGATGCCAAAAGCACTCTTCGAGATCCCCGTCGCAAGGTCGCGCGAGCTTCGCGTTTCCTGAAACCCGTTGGAGATCCCGGTTGGCGGGTCCTCTTGTTGGAAACCCCGTTGGCACCGTGCTAGGACACCTTGCTAGGACCCCAACTTTTTGTCTGTCTCTTTCGCGGCCTCCTGAAGTTCGGATTCCAGCGAACTTCCTGTGACGCCTGTGTATTGGAGGGCGCTGGGCTTGATGATCCCCCGTGGATTGCGACACGAGTCAAACCCTGATCCACAACTGCTCCTCCAGGGACTCATACGATGTTGTCGCGGCTGCTCGTTCGAACTTGGCTTCATCCAATGCCAAGCTGCGCATATCAAAAGTAGTTCGGATTTCGGCGAACTTGTCCTTCTCAAGCGGCCTTTTGTGTTAGTGTGGCCTTTCCGGGTCGTGGTTCAGTCCAATCTGTGTTTGCCTGACGCCGTCTCTGCCTGTCGCATTTTCCTGAAGTTCGGATCCCGGCGAACTTCACGTTTCGGTGGGTGCGTTGGTTTGGCTTCGGACAGGCACTTTTAGTAAGGATCTCGGCGAACTTCCCGTCCTGAACTGTCCGGGTTGCAATTGGTAAACGGAGGACACTGCCCCGTCCAATGTGGGCTTTGTGCGTCACCACCCGTCCATTCCCGATCCGGTGGACATCCGTGTTCCGGAAAAAAACGACGTGGTTGTCGCCCGGCTGCATGAAGCGTGTGCCTTTGTAAAGAATGATATCATTGCAGTTAAGAGGTCATTGCTGGTCTTCGCGTTAGAAGTTCGCCGCGATCCGAACTTCGAGGTCCTCGGATAGCGTGATGTGACCGACGTGTTGAGGGCAAGGTGTGCTTCCTCTGTTTTTCGCCTGCGTTAGGCTTTGACTGCGATTTGACGCTCGCTGGTGTTTTTTATTTGTTTTCCGGTGTCGTCCGCAGACAATATGTCTTCGTCCAGGGGCGAAGGGGAGCCTGCAGCGACCTCCGGGATGGGATCTGGGAAAGATTCTACAAAACGGTCGTCTACGACCTCGAGGACGTGGTCCGACCACGCTAGGTCGAAATAGTTCATCGACTGGTGCTGTGGGGATGCATCAAACCCAGTGCAGCAGCCCTGTGGTCAAGTGATCTTCGTCGAAACCAACAAGCGGCGTAGAGTTCTGGGGGCAGTCTTGCGGTGGGAGAATGCGAAATGCAGTCGTCGACGGTTTTACATGAAAAATGTGTACGGTTCGAAGGGGAACGTCGTCGCCGGTGCCAAGGGGGCAGTTCTCGACATGTGTCTGTTCGAGGGGTTCGGAGCGGGTGCTGCGAACACCCCGTTCTACAACGACCTCTGGAGGCATGGCGGGTTTGTTTTGGGTCGCGAGTTCTTCGACCTGTTGGAGGACAAGGGCATCGCCCTCGATGTCCCTTGCGAAGTCGGTCCCGACCTGGAACTGTCAATACCTTTGCAGCCGTGCGGCGGTTGTGAGTCGAGCGGGGCAGCGGGGGAGGGGGGGGATCTGGGTTCCGGGGAGGCTACACATGTGCAGCGGGAGGATGCCAGAGGTCAGTTTGACGACAGCGAAGATGAGCTGACACCGCGTCCGCCGTTTTCGCCGTCGAGGGAAAGAGACAGGTCTGTGCTGTCCATACCTGGGGTCCGGCAGCAGACCGCAGGGGATCCCGGAGAAGAGGGAGTCCTGTGTGGGTCTGACTTGGAGCCCGCCGAGGGCCATGGCGAGGATTGCGAGGCCGTGGGCGGGGAGGGAGCGCAGGGCACTCCCCAAAAAAGGAGGGGAGAATGTCAAGAAGAGTTGGTGGGCTCTTCGAAGAAATAGAAGACCAAGACCCCGAGGACTACGGAAGAGAAACGGAAGGGGAGCGGGGTGGAAGAGGGTCACCCGGGTAGCAAACGTTCAGCTTCGAAACGCAAACACCCTGAGTCGGGACCTTCTTCACCACGACCTGCCATCGACGTGGACGCCGGGTACTTCGTGGAGTACAAAGACGGCGTCCGGACAAGGCGGGAGTTTGAGATCAGCCCGGCTCAGATCGTTGACATAAGGGAGTGGGAGGATCTTTACAACCAGCGGTCGCTAGATCCCGTCCTCGTGGAAACCATAAGGAAAGCAATGCGGTCTGCGTTCGAAAATAAAGAACAGACGTACGAGTTGCCGGTCTTCAAGCTCGCACCACTAGGGCTTCAAAAACCAACTCTTGGGACCAAGGCACAACGTCTGAAGCC